GTCTCCTAGTTTCTTACTGAGAATGGGGTGAGAGACCGTGTTGAAGGCCTTCCTGAAGTCCAGAAAGACTATATCCACTGTGACACCTGCATCCAAGGACTTAGTGACCTGGTCATAGAAGGCCACCAGGTTGGTTTGACAAGGCCTGCCTGTAATGAACCCATGCTGGTTGCTCCTGAGCATAACCTCCCCTGCTGGCCCTTCCTGAACATGTGCCAGGATTATTCTTTTGAAAAGCTTCCCCAGGACTGTGGTAAGACTCACGGGCCTATAGTTTCCTGGGTCCTTATTCCTCCCATTTTTGAAGATGGGGACCACATTGGCCCTTTTCCAGTCCTGCGGCACATCGCCCAAGCGCCATGAGTGCTCGTATTGCTGCGCCGAAGGTCCCGCAATGACCCCTGCTAGTTCCTTCAGCACTCTGGGGTGGAGATCATCAGGACCTGCGGATTTAAATACATCTAGTCCCTCCAGAAGTTCCCTGACAAGGTCCTCATTAAGCCTAGGCCTGGGTGTGCCACCCAGAGGGCCCTCGGGGGTGCCAGTGGGGGAGGTAAGAGGAAGAAATCTGGAAGGCAAACGGGCCCCTTAAATTGAGATGTCTGTGGGAGCGGAGGGGAGGAGAGCTGCAGAGTAGCTCTTACACAAGTTACTTCTATACACATCTACCTTGGCCACCCATCTTGATGGATGACTATAGCTGCTACCACCCAGGTGCAAAAAAGGCACCCATCCATGGTGGTTTCCTGCAGTCCCACTACAGGAAGCTGAGTTTTTTGGTAGATGTGTTGGAGAGTCCTGAACTCCCCTCACTTGCTGCGCTGGCTTTGTCACTACCTTCCTCCTCCCCGGCTCTGGTCTTAGAAGCCGTCCGGTCTGAATGACAATGATCAGCATGAGAGAGAAGCGGATGATGAGGGACAGTTTTAAGGGAATTGAGATGCACAGGCCATGGATAGAACGTCTTCACTTCCAGACACAGCACTAGTGAGAGAATAAAGAAAAATACGATTCTATTTTGACCTGTATATCTCAGCAAATTATGTAGTTATACTGTGCATTGGTCCTGATTTGAAGGTGAGGCTAAGAACTCTATTTCTTTACTTCAGGAAAGCTATTAATTCAGGAAGTGTCATCCCCCCTTTTCTCACAGGAGCCCTTGGCTCTTAGCTAATATTGGAGGCCTCTGCTGAAGGGGATGGGATGAGCATAGGTAAAGAGAGTCATTCATTAGTCCATCTTTGACATACTGGTAAATGTCAGTGTCTTTCTCACATTCACAGACCTTTGGCGTTTGCAGTTCCTCCTGCCCTTTGTCAGTCTAGGCCTGATGTGCTTTGGGGCTCTGATAGGGCTTTGTGCTTGTGCCTGTCGCAGCCTATACCCTGCCATTGCTACAGGAGTTCTTCATTTCCTTGCAGGTGGGTCCTGTTACACATACACACCATCTCCTTTCCCTGACAGAGCAGCATCAGCCAGGGTAACTTGTAAGCTGATTCTCCTGTACTGTTTCTTTCCCCAGGTCTCTGCACGCTGGGTTTGGTTGGCTGCTACGTAGCTGGAATTGAGCTGCTCCACCAGAAGTTGCCGCTACCTGATGGCGTGAAGGGTGAATTTGGCTGGTCCTTCTGCCTGGCCTGTGTCTCAGCTCCTTTGCAGTTCATGGCAGCTGCCCTCTTCATTTGGGCTGCCCGCACTAACAGGAAGGAATTCACAATCTTGAAAGCATACCGTGTAGCATAAATGGGGTTCTTGGTTCATGGCCACTTGCCACTTCTTAATACTTTATTTTAATGTTCTAGGCCTCTTTCCCCCACCACCCATAATTCTTTTTTAAATTTTTTTAGACAGGTATCTGTACTGCATGCTTCCTGCCAGCTGAGGTTCAATAGCCTGTGTATTTTGTGGGCTAACTTACCAAATCTGAATGGTTTTCCCCTTGCCAGAAGTCTCCAGAATTTTAACAGGCTTTTTTTATTGCATATTTTTTTAAGAACACTTTTTTTATTTAGCTTGTTTGAACATGGACCTCTTCTTGGTTGAGAGATATCCCCCTTCCAAATTCTACTGTTCATTGAACTGGACTATTCCCCATTTCAGTCTGATCTGAAAAAAACAGAAGAAGCGCTATGGGACAGAGGAGGGCTTGGAGCACCAGAGACATGAGCAAGAGTAAGGACTGCAGAGCATGAGTTATACCGGGGTGGGCAAACGCCGGCCCTTGGACTGCATTAAGCCGGCAGTGGACTCCAGTTCCCAGCAGCCACTGCCCTTGTGGCTGGGGCTGGTTTCCATGGAGACCCCAGCAGCTGCCATGCTGTGATAGTATGGGGCCAGGGTTTCTGTGGAGACCAACCCCAGCAGCACTGGCAGGCAGCAGCAGTGCCAGCCCCTTTCTGATGGGGGGGCTGTGTTGCAGGTGGGAGCGGGGTAGGCTCAACTGCCACCGCCTGTGCCGGGTGGGTAGCAGCTGTGGTATCGCTGGTTACGGGGGGGGCCACAGAGAGTTTGGGGTGGCTATATTCCACCCCCCACCAAGCCTCCCCCTAGTGCTGCCCTTGCTGGCAGGGCATGTGGAAGGGTGGGGAGCTCTCCAGAGTCGGCCTGCTGTAAAGTGGAGTCCGGCTACAGGCCAGATCTGCCATTTTGCCTGCTGCTGGGTTATACTGAATCAGCACTACATATAATGAGACCCCATAAGGGCACTGAAGAGAGGTGTACAGAAGTGAGATGTTGTAGTTACACCAGTGTTGAAATTCAGTCTTTGTCTCCAGTTCTTGTTAGTTTCCCTTCCTTGCCTCCTATAACCCAGACTGGTGTAACTGCAGCAGTTTGTTTTGGGTGTGTCTGCACTGCATGCTACAGCATTTGGGAGAGATACCAAATTGGTCTACACAGAGCTACTGAGGGTAGACTGCTTTCAGTATCCAAGCTGGTTTTGTATAGAACTCACTAAAGTATCTCTTTACTGTGCTGTAGTGTAGAGTTTAGACAAAAACTTGTGGTGCTTTTGCTTGTTGTGAAACAGGGCCCCCCCTTATTGGGTTGAAGGGATAGCCCCTTGCAAGTTTGAATTTCTAATTTGGTTAATGTGTGTGTGTGTGTATGTATGTGTGTATGTAAATATATATATATAAATAAATGAATTTAATGTTTTCTAAAGCTTACTTATTTATCCAATGTAGCACAAAACAGGGTTTTTAAAAAATGTGCTGCTCTTTTTTCCCCCACCATCCCCCAAACCTTTTGTTTAAGAGAAATAAATCAGAGCAGAGGCTCAGAAATGCTATCAGAGTTGTGTGAATTTGATGGGAAAAGGGAGTGGCTTGGAGATTTTCAGCTTTGGTCAGCTGAGGCCAGTGTTCAGACAGAGAGATACTGGTAGTTTGTATACAATCAACCCTTTTCTCTGCTCTGGGGAAATATGCCTGGATAGAGATGATTGGTTTGTGGGTTTTTCTAAAATCCTCTTAATTTTAGAGAGCCTCTTATCTTTAGGTCACTGATTTTCAACCAGGGTACCATTTCAGAGGTGCTTAGCTGGTGGAGTTTAATTCAGAAGTGTTACACCACAATTTGTTTCCAAAGAAAAGTGTTCCTTTGATCAGGTGAGCAGTGAGGAAGGAAGGGGTTTAAAACTTGCTAACCAACTTGGACCTAGATGATGGCAGATATGCATAGGAAATGAGCTCACCCTGAAGTGCCTTGAGGTCATTTTATGAGTGCGACACAGTGTGAGTACTGTTAGGTGAACAAACATGATTCACAAGATTAACCCGGAGATTTCAAAGAGAAATCCATCATGTTAAGTCTAAAAAGGTTGAGAACCAGACCTTTTCCTGTTTTCTTTGTGGTTAACATGAGAAGACCTTAGTCCCTAGTGAGCTAATCTATGCTCATCTGCTTGGTAATCACTCTGGGTGTGTCTCCATGTGCAATTAATATGCCTGAATTTTCTGTACAGACAATTCAGGCTCATTAAAGTGCTCCCCAGTGCACACACACACATCTGCCCCTGTTGGGAGTAAATAGAGCACAACAGGATCAGCCCAGTCCAGGGCTGCTCCTGTCCTGCTGTGCTCCCCTTACAGCAGTCAGGGGGAGCTCCAGGCTGTCCCAGGTGCCATCCCTGGGCTGGCAGGGGGCACGGCTTAGCCCTGAGCTCCAGAGGGTGGGGGGAGCTAGCTGGGAGGGGGAGAGAGATCAGGCTGGCCCCAAGTGGGGCTGGGGTGGGGAGGCACTGACCCAGCTGGGCAGGCAGCTGCCTGCCAACCACATTGAGATTGGGACCCATCCCAATCTCCATGGGGCTGGGAAAGCTGTCCCAGCTGCCAGACAGCTGCCTCCCAGCCACGTGGAGATTGGGACCTGGCTGGCAGCTGGGACAGCTATATGGAGATTGGGATGTGTCCTGATCTCCATGTGGCTGTCTGGCAACATTCAGCCAAGCCAGGACCTTTCCGCCCCCTGTGGCCTCCTGCTGCCTAGGTTGACCAGGAGCAAATTGCTCCTGGTCAGTGTCTACACATGCAGTGCAGTGCATTAGTTAATGCACCATTTTTCTAGTAGCTGTATCTAAGGATACAAGAAAATGGTGCATTAGACTAATATACTGCACAGTAATGCCTATGTACGTGTAGACAATGAGGCTTTAGTGCACATTAAAGAAGTCTAATACTGTACATAGTAAAGTGTCTCACATAGATGCACCCTCTGGCCACATCCTCATGAGCAGGGGCATGTGGTTGCTGCAAGGAAAAAAGCAGCAACACAAATTTGTGCCACTGCTTTTTGCCTCAGCACATACCCCTGCACATGGGGTTGTGCTGGCCCCAGCAGTCTTACCTGAGGTCCTGGGGGCCTCCCAGAGCTGCAGCAGCAACAATCCGGGCATACACAACCTGGCCAGCAGCTGCAGTGTGTCTGTGGCCAATCAGGCTCCAGTTTCGGGTGGTGCACGCTGCTTCCATGTATACCGCACCTCTTGTTTTTGGCACAGTTTTTTTGACACCGGAAGATCCCAGTGCCAAAAAAACCCTGCTACATTGCAAATCAGCAGTGTAGTGATCACATGCATTTGTGGTGCATGCAGTTTACAGTGCTGTAGACAGTTTTGTGGTGCTGCAAACCACATGTGTATGCTCATCTAGACTTGCCCTCTGACTCCATCCATTCTGTTGTGCTTAGTGTGTTGTGGGAAAGGAAACTCAGGATTCAAAGAATCATCTAGTTCCAAGTTGGTTAGCAAGTTTTAAACCTCCTCCTTCCTCACTGCTCACTGGATCATCTTTCCATGGAACTGAATTGTGTTGTTGCACTTTTCTGAGTGAATCCCCATCAATTGAGCAGCTCTACAATAGCAGCATTAGTGCAAATGCCCCATGATGCCATTGGTGAATCTGTCATAGATACCCTGGTTTTCATTGCTCTGCTTTTTTCTACTGAACTTGGGATTTTGTTGGGGATGCATTCGCTTGTTCAGCAGACCACCCTGAAACCTGCTGCTGATGAGACTGTGACTAGATCAAGTAAGTATCTTTAGATTAATCTGGTAAGGCTGCTTTCTGGGTTTGCTCTAATTCTTGTCTTGGCAGGGGGTGGGATTGACCTATTTCTCTATCCCTGATCCACCAGCATGGGGAGCTTTGCAAAATGACATGAGGCAGTTGAGGCTGTGATGCCCAGAAGCCATGACCACCCCCAGCCAACATCTGCAATGCCAGCTGTTGCACAGATATAATTTTTTTCCCCTTTATTATTTAGCAGTTTCTTTTCCTCTCTTAAAGGGCTTCTTTTTCTTCCCCAAAATGTCCCAGTGCAGCCAATTCATACCCCAGCAGAGTGCATAGAAGTCCTCTGTGTCAAATCTAGGAGTAACGAGAGCTCCTTTGCTATTGGTGTGATCTGATTTCTTCTCTGTCCCTGGCCCATGCACTCTTCTCTTGGATTGTCTCCTGCCCTCATTCCTCCCATAAATAGACTAGTTGAAGCCTTGCCATGACTGATCTGGCTCCTTGATCAGAGACAGAAGGTGATGCTGTTGCCTAGGCATATCTACCAAGTTCTCTCTCGCCCCTTAGTTGGTACTGCAGCAATCAACTTTCTTATCTAAGCTCTTTGGCAGTGTAGGGCTTGAGTTTGGGGCAATTGTCAAGGGAGCCAATAACTAGATCTTCAGATACTCAGGCTGAGCTGTGGGATGCCTCACTCCTTGTTGAGCCAGGCATTGACTTTTCTGAAATGTAAATCTGTAGTTGTTTTGCAAATGTTGAAGACTTCTCTGTCAGGAGATGAGTGAGTACATCCATCAGAAATGGGAAAAGCTTGAGCAGTAGTGTAACTGGGTGGTAGGGGTGTGATTGGGGCAGCAGCCGTGGGTACTGATTTGGGCGAAAGGGGAAGGGAAAGGAACACTCCCCCTCCCTCCCACCCATGCAAACCCACTGTCACAGCTACTACTAGCTAGCCATGCCACTGCTGTTGCCCTGTAGGTTTGAGGATGCAGGGGTCTTGCTTTCTGGATCATTTCAAATCAGAAAATCCTTGAAGAGCATAGGAGAGGCAAGGAGAAAGAGCAGGAGCGAATATAACAGAAGATAGCAACATGCAATTTTTTATAGACCAGGCAAAGCACTTTCCTGGATGCTAGTTAGAAGGGTCTCTACCTTGAAGAGTTTACAGCATAGGGCCCTAATTCTGTCATTTCATGTAAACTGCCAGATGCGTTTTGCTCAGCCTTCCATGAGCTTAAAGGAGCTCTGCAGAAATGCATGAGATGTAATAGGCCCTGGACCTAAACAGATAACCTGCTTTTGGGGAAAGGAGAGACAGGGGTGATGCAAGTCTGGAAAACTAAAGGGGGAAAATAGGGCAGCTGAAACAAAAGTCTTGCTAGCCAACTATCTTGTATTTATGCAAGTTTCTGAGCACCTGGCCACCTGCTTCTCCCCCTGCTGCCAGTTTGGTGCTACATGTGGCAGAGCTTGGAGCAAGAGAGAGAGAATGGAAAACAGAAGTTTAGCCAGAAGCCAAAAGAAATGGCTTGTTCACCGCACTAAAGGGCCAGTCAAGTGAAATGCAAATCTGAAGAAAAGAGACTTTAAGACAAAGGGAGATGAAAGTATTGGGAAGGAAGAAGAGAGAAACTGGCACCTTCAGAGACCAAGTGATTATTAGTGCTGTGGCAAGAAAGTTTGGCACTCGGGGCAAAGCCTGCAGCAGCAGCCTGCCATTGCTGTGTCCACAGATCTGGGGGGCACATGTTCCCCCATGCTTGCCCAGCAGTGCACGCAGTAGCAAGAGTCGCTCTCCTCCCATCCCCACGCTACCCTAGACAAGCCACTCACGGCTTCATCCCACACCCTGCCCTGGCTGGGCAGTGTCTGTTAGCACCCCTTTGGTTAGGGGCCCAGGGCAGTCGCCCTGTTCGCGCCCCCTCCGCTCCTGGTACAGCGTTGGTGATTACAGAAGAATTGTTGCCATTTTGGAGTCAGTTCCCCAACCCATTCCTTAGCAGACTGTGTAACCAGTTTGGTATGCTCAATTTCATCTTGCCCTAACCCTCACAGAGCTTAGTGCTTCAAGGTTTTTCTGCTAGAGATTTGAGAGATAATACATTACCCTCTGAAGACTCAATCTTGTTATCTTGTTTTCTTGTCAAGGCACAGAAACCACTAGGAAAACAGGATGGTGGAGGATTAGCAGCTACCTACAGAGAGCAGGGAAGTGGTTAATAGAGGCCTCACCACATTACAGTAAGATTTCTCCTTCACTGCAATAAACATTATGGAATACTTAGCTCTAAATGCGAGAAATAGACTTCATTAATGTGGCTAGGCAGAGATTCCTTGCCAGTCTTATAAAAGAGAGCACTAAAATATCCCATGTAGTAGATTCTACATCATTCATAAAGATATCTATATTTCTGTTCTCCATTTATTTTAAATCTAAGGTACAGTATGGAACGCTGAATTTATTCCATGGGGTTTGGTCTCTGAGAAATACCATCTGGAATATCATCCAGCCACACTCTTATAGGTGTTTTGATGTGGCAATCTGTGGTTTATCTCAAAGATTTCAGGTAGTCCAAGTTGCATCCTCCTTGGGAAATTATGAAGATTTCATTTAAAAAATCTGGACTTTTTTTGAAAATGGGAACCACATTGGCCCTTTTCCAGTCCTCTGATACCACACCAGAGCACCATGAGTGCTCGCACAGCTTTACAAGCACTTGTAGTGCTCTGGTGAGATGCCAGAGGACTGGAAAA